TGGCTCAGTAGAATAAGTGCTTCCCTGGCAAGCACAAGGGCCTGAGTTCAAACCCCGGTTCTGCCAAAAAATAAACAAATAAATACTTAGAAGTGAAATGAGTAGGCGATATGATAGAAGTTTAATTTTAAGAAACTGACAGATTTCCAAAGTAACTGTACATCAGTAACAGATGAAACTGATTTTTTTCTCATCTTCACCAACAATATGGTCAGTTTTTTAAAATTTAGCCATTTTCTTAGTATATAATGTATTTCATTGTGCCTTAATTTACTTTTCTCTAATGGCTGAAAATGTTTGTCTTTTTGTGTGCTTTTTGGCTATTCATATATCTTCTTTAAAGAAGTATCTGTTCATACTTTCTTTTGCTGTTTTTTATTTGGAATGCTTGTTTTCTTTATTCCTAAATCAAATGCATACCCTTGGGCTGGTGAGATGGCTCAGTGGTCTAACGCACCTACTTGGAACAAGCTTGGCAAAGCACAGGAACCACTGTTTCAATCCCCCAGCACCACATGCCAGCCAGCCCCGCCCCCTGGTGGGCTGAGTTGGCCACACACACACACACACACACACACACACAAATGTTAAAAAAAAATGCATACCCTTATTACTCACAAACTGATATATAAATTAAGCATCTCTACTAAACTCTCCCTAGAAAAATACAAGCAGGAAAATGGTAACGCTATTGTCTCTAAGGAGGGGGAATAGAGGAAACAAAAGTGAGGAGGCTTATTTTACATAATTTTGTATGTACACATTGAATATATTTTTGAATAAAACATTGATGATCAATAAAAAGAAATGTGAAAAAAGAGACAATGTGTCTATAGGCCTGGAGATTATAAATGTGGTCTTTTCTCCTCTACATTCTGTTGCATAAAGTCTGTTTATAGTATGGACATGTGGATCAATGGAACAGAATATAGGATACAAAAACATCCTCAGCCACAGTATCTGATTAAAGACCAAAAGCATATACTGATGGAAAGATAGTCTATTTAACACATGGTGCTGGGAAAATTGGTATCTGTTTGCAGAAGATTATAGCTCAACCCCTATCTCTCAATAAGGACTAAAGTTAAAATGAGTCAAAGACCTAAAATTAAAACAAACACACACACACACACACACACAAAAAAAAAAAAAAAAACCACTGAGCCTATTGGAACATGAAATAGGTGAAACATTTCAAGTCATAGATGTAGGAAAGGATTTTTTTGAACAAAACCTCAATTACACAAAAAGCAGAAAGAATCAAGTAGGATTAAATGTAAAAGCTTCTGCACAGCAAAGGAATCAGTAAAGAGACAACCTACAGAATAGAAAAAACTTTGTTAGCTATTCCTCAGAGGACTAATATCTAGAACATTCAAAAAGCTTTTAAAAATGAGAGATACTATAGAGTTTGGTATAGAGATACTATACAAGGGGATTAAAATGCAAATTAAAGCATTGCTAAGATTCCATCTCATACCAGAAA